CCTTTAGCAGAACAAACCAGATAAACCCAATCTAAAATGCTAACACAACAGGCCTGAAATCTCAAAGAAAAAGAATATTGTTCTGCCTCCTACATCTAAAAGGGATGAACAAACCAGATAAACCCAATCTAAAATGCTACAACAGGCCTGAAATCTCAAAAGACAAGAGTATTGTTCTGCCTCCTACATCTAACAAAAAGGAAAGGGATGAGCATACTGCACATGAACAGAGAATGCCACAAAAGGCATGACTGTTTAATATTAAACAGTCCTTGTCCTTCTTAAACTGGCTACATTAGGGATTCAGACAGGACTGGAGTGGGCAAATTTCTCAACCATTCCTGAGGTGGCTGTATTATATCATGGGGGGGGGGGCATCCAAGAAAGATGCAGCTTTCCTGACAATTATTGAGTGGCTTGTGTAGGACTGCAAGTCACTCCCTTGCAGGGTAGAAAGGACCTAAACATTTCCCCTCAACTCTCTTCTTTCTTTCCTGTGGCAGTACAGCTGTGGTTTGCAAATGGTCTGATGTAGCAGACTGACAGGGTTCCCCCTCTCCCCAATGTGCCAGGTTTCACTGTATGGTACCAACTGAGGGGGGATAGTGGGGAAAAATCGAATTGAAAAATTATATGTATTGAACACTGGATTTCTCTCTCTCTCTCTCTCTCTCTTGAACCATAAAATATTGAACAGCAAGCCAGACTTCTGTCTTGTTCCCTTCTCAGCTTTAACTCCTCTGTTCTAAAACTGTTAACCTCCAACTGACTACAGAAATCCCAACTGACTCTCAGATCAGACTCCACCCCTAAGGCATTCTAATCACAGGAACCAATCCACATCCACTCATTCAGCTGCCAATCACAGGAGCACTTGGCCCCTGCAGATAGACTGTTCAGGCCCACAAAACCATTTCAAAAATTTCCATGAAAGATTTCTGGCTTGCTGGAATCTGACAGATTCAGCCTGATTCTGTTAAATGCCTCTGTCTGCATTAAAAACAACTACTCTCCTCCACACATTCACATGATTTATTTCTGTGATTGTCATACATGAGTTGCACGCACAAATGCTTTTAACTACTGAAGAATTTTTTAAAGGAAGCTCAGAACCCTGAAACCCACATTTTCTGACCTAGAGAGTTATAACTGCAGACAACATTTCCATCATTTGATGTTGTTGCACTCTATGTACTTAGAAGCTATTTCACATATTTCAAAACTGAATTGTGAACTGAAACTTCATCCTCACAGTCTAAACTAATTCTGAGGGGAATTTCTTACTATAAAATCAGTGGCTTTATGAGTTCATGCTTGATGCAAATCCTAAAGTTATGATCAAAAATATATTTGCAGCATCACATGCTGCTTGTAGTTTGAGTTAGAGGGATTCTTCTGGGCTGAGATGATGGTCTGTCTATCCAACACTAAATAGATGTTCCTTCCAGCCTTCAAATTCAAAGAAAGCCCTGCCTCTCTGCTCAACCTTCTTTCCAGGGTTGGTGGCAGTTATTTGCTTGCTGCAGATCAGTTCTGTTGGTTGTTACGTTTGAGTGCAGTAAAGAAAGCAGCATGCATACACAAGCCTGTAATTTTCAAGCAACTGTAAGTAAATAAATGGTTTTTAAAATATTATTTTTCCTACAAATGCCTGAAAGGTAAATTATTGAGACTTTAGGTGCCAGTTAATGGGAAATCGATGGGCTCTGCAGAACTTCTGGTGATTTTCTTCTGTACTTCTACTATGAAGCAAAAGGAATTTTATAAGAAATTCATAACTCTGCAACAAAATACAAAGGAAATCAAAGATGTTGCATTTTAGATTAACTGTGATTTGTTCTTGTTGGATTTTTTAACGATTGCTACTGTCATTAAAACATTTGGATCTCAGACTAACACACCCTACATCTCTACAGAGATCTGTGACAGTTTAGAAGACCAACAACCTGGTTCCAAAACTTGCTAAGGGGTGGCATTGGAAAAAACACTCCTTAAATATCTCACATAGCTTGGAAATGCAGGGCCGCTATGAGATTTATTTGATAGGGACATGGTGGCACTACAGGTTAAACCACAGAAGCCTCTGTGCTGCAAGGTCAGAAAACCAGCAGTCGTAAGATTGAATCCACGTGACGGAGTGAGCTCCTGTCGCTCGTCCCAGCTCCTGCCAACCTAGGAGTTTGAATGCATGTAAAAATGTGAGTAGATAAGTAGATAAATAGATAAATAGGTGGGAAGGTACTTTGCGGCCAGAGAAGTCTGTAACTCGAAAAGTCTGTAAGTCGAGCCGTCTGTAAGTCGAGGGTCCACTGTAATGGCATTCCATGTCTAGTCACGCTGGCCACGTGACCACAGAAACTGTATTCGGACAAATGCTGGCTTATGGCTTGGAAATGGGGATGAGCACCACACCCTAGAGTCAGACATGACTGGACTAAATGTCAAAGGGAACATTTACCTTTATGATACACCCACCCATAGATTAATTGCAAGACTTTTTTCCAGACACAACAGAAGAATCCGAGAGCATACCTTAAGTGTAGCATGTTTGTTGACTTCATTATGGCTTTATTTATTACATTTATAAATTTAATTAATAATAACCATGTGGCATCAAGTCATGGCACATTATTATTAATGGGGACCCTTTTCAGGGTTTTCCAGGGACAGCTGCTGTTCTCAGCAGGAGCCATCTGGCCCCTGGGACCCCCTGACACATTTGAAGGGGGCCACAGAATGGAAACAATTATTCACATACCACCTTATAAGGTTTGTTATGTGACTTACAAAATCCTGATTTGGCCTATATTTCTTTCATAAAGCGTCTATGGCCATGGCCAAAAAAAAAAAAAAAAGGTTGTGAATGGCAGGTGAGATATTCTGAGGATTTCAAGCATTCCCTTCCTTCTGAGGGCATCTTGGGACTGTGCAAGGCCACACAGTCTGGCTTTATTCACAGGAGGCACAGTGGGGAATTGAACTCCCAATCTCAGGCTTTGCAGTCAGACATCAAAACGACTGAGTTTTCCAGCTGGCTATAAATTTAGCTAGTAATTTGTTATTTGCTTTCCATTGCTATACTGAAAATAGTTGAAGTGTCAAAACTGCACAGAATAACTATGCCAAGACAGTACAAAACTGCTATAACGAATCTTGAAATGAAAAAGAATCATAATATTTGCTAACAGAAAATGTAGGGCTACCCCCACTCTCCCTCTCTGTTGAAGGCAACTGGTGCTATCTGGTGACCAAAGCCACGATGACAAAAGGTACTTCTCTTGACTTCCTTTTTCTGCTGCCAAGTAATAGTCTCTGTGCCGGCACAATACCTGCAGCATATATAGAGCGATGTATATTTTGCTGATCCCATGCAAATAAGCTCTGATTCTCTCCCTCACTCTGTATTTCCTGTGTAGTCATTCATTCCAAGGAAATTGTTCAGCCTTGTGTTTGATTTTTAGATGCCGCCCAGAGTAGACCTTTGGTCTAGATGGGTGGGGTAGAAGTCTAATAAAATAAAATAAAATAAATCTTTTTCTTTCTCTGGCTTTTATGCTCTACAGCAGGCTTGTCCAACCTGCGGCCCGAGGGCCGCATGTGGCCCAGGTCGGCTTGTAATGCGGCCCAGTGCAATTTTTTATTTTTAAAGAAATTCCAAAGTTTCAAGTTACACTGCAGGCGCTTGCGGCCGGAATGCAGCTGGGGCACGTCACAACGGTGGGGGGGGGGAGAGAGGGACGGAAGGAGCGGGAGAGGGGGGCTGCGTGACTGCATTGCGCTGTCCCTGTCAATAGGTGGACCCCCTCCCGGCCCCATAAAGCCACCGGAGTCAAAGCTGGCAGCCTCTGCTGTCTGAGATTGCAGCAGCCGGTAAGCACGTTTGGAGTGCGGCTGCAGAGGATAGCTAGGGCTGCCCCCCCCATGGGGCCCAAACCAAATTTATGTGTGGCCCAAACCAAATTTTCGTCTTCTAATGTGGCCCAGGGAAGGTGAAAGGTTGGACACCCCTGCTCTACAGCCTTCTCTCCCAGACCTGTTCAATCATTCTTTCCATGTGAACAGGGCTTCCCTTTGGAGTCATTTGTATGTATTTCCTTTGCTTAATGATTCATTGGGCAGTTTTAAATGCCTGACAATATTTCTAGGTTTGAGGTGTACGGGTTGCTTCCCCAGAGGGGGGAAAACATTAATGAGTGGTGACAAATGGAAGGATGGTCTCTGCAGTGGGGGAAATCTGTTGATCATATATGCTGGATGGTTGAAGTATGAAGGTGACAAATAGTACTTTTGCAGATTTCCATAAGCTGGCTCAGGCAAGATCTTCATGGAGGGAAATGTAATCCCTGTTATGCTGTTAAATTGCTGTGCATTTTGTCTGTCAGCTAGTGCTCTTACTGGTAAAACTGGGTCATAAAGACTTGCTGGTGGCCTCACAAAATTCTGGAGGAGGGAGTGCCAAAGGTTTCCACACAGGGGACTCAATGTGACTCGAGGCCACAGGCTGGCAAGGCTGCGTAGAGCTTCACAGTTCCATGTGGATCCCGGGAAATCCTCCTCTGTATGATAGAGTTGTGAGAAATAAATGCAGATTGTGATGTCTAGGTATTTCATCAAGAAACTGTACATTTTACTTATGCAGCCATGCTCTGCCTCATTACAAGGGGAATAGTTTGAATAAAGAACAATATGTGCAGCGTTCTCCCAATTGCACAGCATGGAGTCCAAGTAACATCCCATTTCAAATAACATTGATTCTGGATGAATGTTGTATTCTGTGCAGTTTGTAGCACAACCCTTCTGCATGAGCTTCCCTAAGAAGTTCCTTAGTTCATAAAAGAGCAGATGCTTGTTTTGGGGAGACGTGGGCCCATAGGGGAAACCAAAAGCCTGATGGAATTCTATATAAGGGACTCTTGCTTCTTCACCAGTTCTTATGTGATAGGGACACTTGGTGCAGCCTTGGTTCATTGTTAGCCAGTAATATGGCTTCACTATTGTACCTTTGTGTGCCAGGTATTCTTGGCAAAATGTTGCTGTTCTTCCTTCCACAGTGTGTGGGATTCTTGCCTCATTACTTTCATAGTCCTGAAACAGAAAAAGAAAATCTTGTTTTGAGATTGGACTTCTGCATACAATCTTGGCATTTATTTGCAGATCTGGTTGTCTTAGATGCGAACGTTTGCTGGTATCACATCTATTGACCACTAACAAGATTTCATCTGGAATTATATGTATACCTATAACGTATAGTTTGACCCTAATGTAGTAGCCTTGATCTTGATTTTTTACAGAAACAAAGGTTACTTTTAGCAATGTGATCAATCAAATCTTCTCTACTGACACTAGGCAGGTTGCATTTGCTGAGCGCCATGTAATTTGTAAGGAAAAGAGAATGAGAATGTTTAATATTGTTTCCCCAAACCTTGGGGAAATAAAAGCAACCTGTACTGGTGATTCTGAGTGGTCTAACAGCTATAGCACAGGCATCCTTCAGTCTCGAGAGACCATGGTAACGTGCTCTGTATCGAGGAGTGTCCTCTCCAGAGCATGAAGCCTGGGTAAAGTAATATGGAGGATAGGCTGTTACCCAAGCAGCAGATCCCCCCTCTCCACATTGCTGAAATGCTCCAATGGAAAGGCAAGAGCCAATACAACTTGTTCCAGCAACGTCACAGGAGTTGGCAGAACGACACGAACTGCCTTTGGGACTCCAGCTCCGGATTTTGCTCTAGGTTAACTCCTGAAGCTGTTTCCATGAGTGGATATAGCCACAGGGCAGTAGAGGTATGAAATCAGAGTTTTCCTTCTCCTAGATGGGCTGCCTTCCATGGCTGACGAGCCCCACCTCATTTAAAGTAGAAAGCCCCACCCCCTAGGCCCCACCCGCAGGCCATGCAGTGGGGGAGACCAAAAGAAAGCCCAGCAAAAACCAACAACAACTCCGCAGCAAAATGTCCATGCAAGCATACCTGGCCTTCAGTCTCAGCCCAGCTTCCTAGGGAAAAGGGTCCAGAAATAACGCCTTTGCCTATATGTGAATGTTGTTCAGCATGAAGCCATAGATACAAATAACGCCTTTGCCTATATGCGAATGTTGTTCAGCATGAAGCCATAGATACTTCCTTTATTTTTCTTGATTTTAAAAAATGTACTCATGTAACTCCTTGGAACATATAATTTGGCCCTAAAATTCTCTCCTCTTGCAATCCTAGCCATTAAATAACAAAAAACTTTCCAATAGAAATATGGCTGGCTTCCTAGAAATGAGGTTAAGTATGCTTTGTGTTGCAGAAAAAATAGGCACAATTACAGTATATCCTTAAGACTGAATAGAGCTCTACTTACCATCAGTGAGTCACTTGACCAGAATGCCAGGCACAAACAGCTGATGTAGGCCACAGATATTGTTGAGCTGTTTACTATTTTCTGTTGTAATTTTTAGAAAAAACTTCCAGCATTTTTTTCATTTTAAAGGAAGAATGGTTAGTCTTCTCTCTCCTTAACTTCTTTCTAGTAAATGTTCTTCTAGTGTGATCACTTATATACTTCTGCAGCAAAAACTGCAGTTGAAGAATTTGGTTGTATTGGCAACGCCAAGTGCTAGGATACCTAGATATAAACAGAAGACTTGCCTTTGTTTTGTTTTGAAAGGCTGCTTAGATATGCTCTTGTGCCTATTAAGAGATTGATTAGCATTGTAATTTATGTGTACAGTAGGATCTATACATATTATAATTTTTCAGAGTACAATAAGTGTGTGCATGTACACACGTGTGCAAACACATGCACGCAAACACATGTAGAGATTCTATTGTAAAGAGAGGTCATGTTCTAAATGCTGCATTTATGAAACAACAGATTAGAGGAAAGAGAAAGACAAAGTTGCAAGAGACAAAGGTATAGGAAGCAGGGATGAATGTAGGTAAATGGATGGATAAACATTTCCACATAATCTGCATAAATTCTATTAAGTCCTCCCCCTTTGTTCTAGCATTTATTTTAAATCAATATAGAAATACAATAAGAAATGGAGATTAATGTAATAGGCTACCATCCCATCTTACTTCTCTGAGTTGCTTTTGAGAATAAATGTAGAAAATTGTGTTTAATATTTGCAAACACTTCACATACATCATCTATTGTCCCCTTATAACACGTCTGCAAGCCAAGCTTTCCCCAATCTGTTGCCCTCCAAATCTTTAGACTACAACAGCCATCATCTCTGACCTTTTATCTTGTGGCCTGGGGATGAGAGGTGTTGTAAATTAAAACTTCTGGACAACACCACATGGGAGAAGGCTGCCGTTATTTATTTATTTATTTATTTATTCAATTTATATGCCGCCCAAACTACCCAGAGGTCTCTGGGCGGCTTACAATAATTAAATGTTATGAAAACTGAAAGAGGATTTCAAGGAAGTCTGCAATCAAATCAAGTATCCAATACAATGACTATAGCATTCAACTCAATACCACGGTTGATGGAATAAAAAACACTGAAGAGTATTTGATAAATCAAGGAGAATTAACTGGGTTGCAGTACTCCCCTAAATTCTTCCGTAGATCACAAATTGGGGAGCTGAGGCTGACAGAGAGAGTGGATTACCTAAAGGGACTGATTAGGGTTATGGTTTGTTAATGAGTTAGGACAAGGTGCAATTCAGACCGAGGAAGGGCTGATTCAGACTCATGATGCCTTCAGAATAGCTTGGAGTTTGCAAGATTAGAATTTACCTCTTCCAAAGGAGAAATTAACCATTCTATGTAGAAACATGATTCTGCAAAAATCTGTTTTTAAAATGTAGTAATGAAGGGAAAGGGACTAGCCAACTGTCAGAGAGAATAGTATTGTAAGCATTTGTTAAAGTTTAATTTTTGAAAAACATATCTGAATAGAGGCTGTAGAAAAATATATTTTCCTGAGAAATCGTTCGTTTAGTCGGTCAGTCATGTCTGACTCTTCGTGACCCCATGGACCAGAGCACGCCAGGCCCTCCTATCTTCCACTGCCTCCCGGAGTTGTGTCAAATTCATATTGGTTGCTTCAATGACATTGTCCAGCCATCTCATCATCGGTCGTCCCCTTCTCCTCCTGCCTTCACACTTTCCTAACATCAAGGTCTTTTCCAAGGAGTCATCTCTTCACATGAGATGGCCAAATTATTGGAGCCTCAGCTTCAGGATCTGTCCTTCCAGTGAGCACTCAGGGTTGATTTAGAATGGATAGGTTTCTTCTCCTTGCAGTCCAGGGAACTCTCAAGATCCTCTTCCAGCACCACAGTTCAATAGCATTAATTCTTTGGCGGTCAGCTTTCTTTATGGTCCAGCTCTCACTTCCGTACGTCACTACAGGAAAAACCATAGCTTTGACAATGCGGACTCTTAAATAGACTCAGTAGAATGTCAGCTAAAATTACCACAAGATGGCAGCATAATAATAATTAAAAACTGTTTTATGTACATTGATGCTGAGATCTGTATTTAGTCACGCTTATCTGAACTAGATTCAAGATGCTAGTATTAGTATAGAAAACCCTTAATGGTTTGGGGCCTCAGTATTTCTCAAAGCGTTTCTCCTTCAGAACATGAGCCCATGCTACCCGCTCTTCACAGCCTTTGCTAGTCTTGGTTGCTATGCCAAGGCTAAGAAGACAGTCACCAGGAATCAACCCATTTTGGCTGTGGCTCCCACCTTATGGAATGAGCCCCTGGTGGAAGTTTGCCTGTCAGGTCCCCTCCCTCCCATCATTTAAGAGAATGGTTAAGACTCTAATGTTTGGGGAATATTTTAAGGGAATCCTCTTGTAATTTATTTCTATTAACGCTCCTATAGTCTGTCATCTCTTGGGGTCTAATTTAGTTATTGTATTTGTGTTCTTAATTTTTTTTTCTTTATGGTGATGTTTGGGTTATTGTTTGTATGTGTAAACCGCTAGAGTAGTGTTGGACACTGAAGTTGACAGTATAGAAATTAATTAATTAATTTGTTAATTTTCAGAGCTGTTTTTGTTTGATGTCTTTTGAAAAATTGTAGGTCATTTCTCTTATTTTTGTGAGAACAAAATGATTGGTCTTCCAATGACTCCAGTTAGAGATGCTATAATATTTCAACTGCCAATGGGGAGCTCAATAGGACCTTCTCTGGGATATTACATTTCAGTGGACATTATTTCATGTGACCTGAGTTTTGTATTGGACTGCCATGTCGGCCTTCCACTTTCCTGCCAGCTTCATCCTTGGGAGCCAGCAGGAGTTAAAACAGCCAAGGGCCTTTGCTTTATCCTTTCAGAATGCAGCATTCTTGTCAGATCTCCCACCGCCTCCATTGCTCTCAAGAATGATACCTGCAGGGGATTGGAATTCAAATGAATGAGCAATATAAATGGAAGAGTCCACTTTTTCACTTGCCATATATGGTAAGCTATTCCCAGAGCAGGGAGCTGTATAATTCAAAGGGGGGAAGCTGGCAACGAGAAGTGCCCCCCCCAAGACAACCAATTATGTAGTGGATTGGGAGACTTCATCCTTTTACTTCTAACCATTTTTGCAAGAAAAAATATAACTCATTTATATTCATGTTCCCACTGAATTATTTGGTGACCTCAGGGCTCAATCACACATGACAAAAGAACCCCAGTTATATTGATTCTTCACATTTTTTTCAGTGAGAACATGGTATATATATTGGCGGGAACATTCACACTATTTTTGACTTTATTTATTTGTTTCTTTCTATTTGAACTGTTATAGTTGGCTGCAATGCTCCATAAATTTGAATCAATTAGTTTTCTCTACTGTTTCTTGGGACAATCATGCCTCCATCCTTTTTAAAAAAATGACAAAATGACAAAATAACAAAAAAGTGATAGTGAAAGGAAAATTGGAAAATAGATTATTAAAAATGACAAAATAACAAAAAAAGTGACAGTGAAAGGAAAATTGGTTGATAAGAACTTATTAACCATAAGTTCTTATTATGTCCCTAATATAGATCAAGCTAAACTTATGCAAAATCTGTTAAGAGAGGTGAAAAAATGTGAATGGGGAAAAATTATTCAGGGGGATACAAATTGTAATTTAAGTAAAATATTACTATGAATACAGCTGTGAGGGTGGATAATCGAGAGAAAGGTGTCTCCTGCAGATTTCAGAGCTGGGGAGGACCACGCTTTCCTCCAGATAGCCTGGGCCCAGATAGCTCTGTCTGTGCTCTGGGTTCTGACTCCTGTCCTCTGAATATGCCAGCCACAGAGACCGGCAAAACGTTAGAAAGAAAAACCTCAGGAACATGGCCAGAGAGCTTGAAAAACCTACAACAACCATCAGATCCCAGCCGTGAAAGCCTTCAAGGAAAAATGATGATGATGATGATGATGATGATGATGATGATAATAATAATAATAATAATAATAATAATAATAATAATAATAACAACAACAACGACATTGACAGTGAGAATATAGAGACTACTATTTTGCCTGTTGATTTAATAAATGCAACTGACCTTTCAGTGTTAGATTTAGCAACAGATTCATTGACTTTTTATAGCAAAGTAATAAGAATAGGGTTTCAACATAGAAAAATATGATCTCTCTTTTGATGCTGTAGTCAGTGACTATTGTTACTAGTATATTCATATATGTGTATGTATATAATGCTACAGTGCATATTGAAAAGCGAAGTTTGTTTATAACTATGAAGAGATGTTGCCGGTGATATATGCATGTAATGAGTGCCTGAAATAATGGCTTTTGTGTTAGGTAATACTGCAATCACCTTATGTTTGTCTGCATGTATTAACAGCTCTCCTCATGTTTAATGAATACCCAAGGAACTATAATATTTTCCATATGATTACTTTGTTAATGTCCATTTAACATTTAAATATTCATGGTATCATGAGTTTCCAATCAGAGCAGTGTGAGTTTTTTTATTGATAATACGTGGAGGTGGCAAAAGGACGGGTTATCCTAAAGTTGTCACACCCTGCCTTTGACATTTGAGGATATGTTACTTTGGGAAATAAAGAGTCTAGGTGATGGTCAAAAGAGAACCTTCATCTAGATCTCCCCTCTTTCCCAATCAAGATGTAAGTGTGTGAAAAGAATAAGAGACTATAGGAGAAGCACCAAGAGCTGAATTTGCTGAGAGGTGGAAGGTTTGGAGGGATGTAGCATATGCGCAGGTTTGGTTCCCTTGGAAAGGCTTATTGTTATTTTGTAATACATATGTTTACAGCTATACAGAGTATGACTACGTGCCTAGCTTAGGCAATCCAATATACAGTAATGGGATTATTTTATTTATTTATTTATTTATTTTATTTAACTTATATGCCGCCCACACTATCCGAATATAAAAGTGTTCCTGTAAGGCAGAGCTTGGACTACAATGGGAGTTCTGCTGTTTGAGAGATTCTGTAGCTGTACAGTTTTCCGAAAATAAGACCTAACCTGAAAATAAGCCCTAGTATGGTTTTTCAGGATGCTCGTAATATAAGCGCTATCCCAAAAATAAGCCCCAGTGGAGTGAAACCCTGCCTTCCAACATTGTGCAGCAACCAGAAGAAGAAGACATGACTGTCTTTGAATAAATG